CTGCATTTGTACCCCTGCCATCTCACCTGACCACTCTGTCCCTCTCCTCTCCATGGGCTTTGGTTCATCTTTGGTGGCAACAGTTGTACAGTGTGTGTGTGGTCATTGTCCTAGTGCAAATAGACTTATTTTACTAAAAACCTGAAATAAATGATACATTTCCCTAGGCAGCCAGAACTCCGCCAGCCCACGCTTTATCATTCCAAGCGTGGTCGCTGACCGGCGGCAACACCAGTCCACGGGCACACCTGTTATATACGCAGACTCTCGGGCCCCAGGCCAGCCCCACCGAGGCTAGAATCCACACTTTAACAAAACACCAGGTGGTTCCTGAGCACACTAAGTCTGGAAAACACTGGCGAAAGTGTATTTATAATTGCGGGCTTTTCTTTTCAGGATTCAGAGGTAAGGTAAAATTTCCCTGTGATCATCCCACGCTTTTGACAGAACCACAAGTGCTATCAAATCTGCGTTTCTCCCTCCATTCTCCTAAAGCACCAGAAAGCTGCTCTACTTCCTAAAACACACACCACGTGTGGCTGTCAGGTAATAGAACTAAGGGAAATGACCCAAGTTCCTGATTTCAAGCCAAGAACTTGACACCTTCCAGACTGGATGCAGGCAGCCTAGTAGGTAGTCTGGTTTTTCCTCAGACATAAGAAAAAGATCACAGGAGAAAGTTTCTATTTGAACTCTCTGAGAAAGAGATGTGGAAGATGGCCTCTATCTCTTCCAATGTGAGCTGCTCTGTCTTGGTATCCTCACTTTCACCTGTGGGGGGTCCCTCACTGGTGCTTCTGGGGCCCCTTCTGCCCAAAGCTAGCCTCTAACACTCCTGCAGTGACATCTTGCTCCTACTTCTGTTTTGGGTTGCTGGCGTTCCCCCTCATGGCCCTAAAAAGTGGGCCTCTGCTCTTGTCACCAGTAATGGGGAGATCACCAGCATTCAAGCATTCACTGAATGGTAGTGATCTCTAGAATAGTAGATCTCTACTTCAATGGCTTTGACTTTGCCAAGTTCCTTACGAATACAACCGCACCTGACCCCTAGGGCGCTGTCTGGTACGAGTTCCACTTGGCTTTTCAGCTGCCACGTTGTCTAGCTGGGAGAGCATTACCCTAAATCCTTGCTTCTCAAACTATCATGTGTCTTCAAAACACCTGGGGTTTCTTGTCCAAGAGTGTAGGAGGACCTCTGAGCTTTTGCCCTTCTCAGGTGAGAACTGACCAGAGTTTGAGTGGCAAGACCTTACATTTGATTAAATCTACCACCAGAACCACCGAGAACAGGTCTGCATGACCTGCTGTCATACAGTGGATCGGAAAATCATGGTTTCCACCAAATTGTCCATTTTTTGGCCAGAGACCTTGTTTCTTTGATAGTTCCTTAGCTGTCATGGTTTTTCCTTTTCTTATCGTCTGATTAACTGTCTTCTGGAAATGCTCTAATGAGCGTGGACAAACCCTGATAGGTTACAGCTCTAAATGAACCGCACTGGGGCAGAGAACCACCTGGTTCAAATGAACTCAAGACTGTGCAGTCGTGTTTAGGAACAATGTGGTCCTTTGGAGGGATCTGGAGCCTAAAATCAACTATGGCCTCCATCCTTCCCCTCTTATATGTGTGCTTCTTGCCACAGTAGTGGGAAAGGGGGGGGTGGTGAGAAGCTAATTCTTCATCTGAAGTGATAATAATTTGATGTGTTATCCTTTAAAGGAAATTGTACAAGGCAGTCCTAAAGAGGCAATGTCTTAATCTAAAGGCAAACTCTCTACTGGTGTCATTTGAGGCTGACTGGTGGAAAAGACATGTGGAAAGGGGGCCATTTAGAGCCTATAGTGACATAGCTGCTTCTTCCACCTTCCCTGAGGCTCCCAGACACATGAGACACACTCCGGTTCTGCAGCACCTAGGGCATGAGAAACAATGTCCACAAGGTTGGCTCGTTTGGAGCAATTTGTTTTTTTCAAATCAGCCATGGGCTGGGGAAGAGCTCATGAAGACAATTTGAGTCATTGCTTCCAAAGCCAGACCAATTAGGAAGGAAAGCAGCTTTGGGGTAGAAATAACTGTTTCAATCAAGGGAAGAAGTGAGGCAGCAACACTGCTCCGGGGAAAGCTCTGGAACTTCCTCCAGCATGGTGAACTTGGGAGAGACTATAGTAGAAACCAAGACAAGAGTTTCCTCAGTAATCATGTAAGGAAAGTTGAAGGGAGGCTCCTGAGACAGGATGTTGAAATGAAACCATTTTAGTTTCAGTTTTGGCTGAGGCTGCAAGACAACAGACACCCCAAGGTAGAGTGAAGTGTGCAGATCTTGAAAAAAAAAAAAAAAGATTGTGGAAAGCCAGTTTTATACCTATAGGTGACCACCTACACCCAGCCTGCAAAAGAAATGTAGAGGTTGAGAAACACATTAACTTGGAGATGAATTATGGAGAGAAATGTCTAATGTATTCCCAAGGGCTTCAGTGTGGCCATGTGACTAGCTTGATTTCCGTCCCTGGAGCTTGAGAGACACAATGGATTATTTTTGATTCCCATGAGAAATCAAAAAATCTGGCAACTCCGATGGCAGTCTGCATGCTCAGAGTTTATTTGGCCAAAGGATGTGTAGTGTTTTTCAGGGACCAGATGTCGGCCATCAGAAGAGAGATCTAAAGTAAGATTTTGGGGCACCTGGGTGGCTCAGTTGGTTAAGCATCTGACTCTTCATTTTGGCTCCGGCATGATCTCAGGGTATGAGATTGAGCCCCATGTGGGACTCTGCACTGGGTGTGGAGCCTGTTTGGGATTCTCTCACTCCCTCTTCCTCTGCCTTTCCCTCCGCCCCTCCCCTTTTTCTAAAAAAAAGTAACATCATCTGAGGTTCTTTCTGTGGGACTGTCTGGTGGCACAAGGGGGCTTCTGCAGGAAGAAGCTAGAGATCTACCTGCAGATTTGGGGCTGTGGAAGGAACTGTAAGTGAGCAGGTAGCCAACCAGAGAAGAATTATATTTGTTCATGTCTGGGAAAGTGCAGGTGAGAGATGGTAGGATCACCAAAATGTCCCTATAAGAGCCAATAGGATGAAGAATCAGCTTTCAACACCTGCTAGAACTTGGGAGTATGATGCCAACTCACAGCAGGATTAGTCGAGTAAAAACTCTCCTACCTCTTGCCTCTCTTCTTTCCCTTACTCTGGTCATGAAGGATTCCAAAATCATTATTAGTTAGATGTGGGAGGGGGCAAAAACACAACGTTAGGTGTGAGGTGGAGAGAGAAGCCAATTGTCCTTAAGCAGGTCCGAACTGATTATTACACTGACCTAGGTATATCAGTTATTGACTAGAGAATGTCTTGTTACTTGAAGAAGCAAGAAAAGTTACAAGATTTGTCCAAAATTTCACCCATGGATAGGAACAAAGTGGTCCCACAGGATATATTTAAAGCATGAGAGACATGGCTTTATGATTACATCTTATGGGTCATTGCTTATTCAATGTAACAGTGATTTAAGGATTGCACAGCAAAATCAGACCATTCTGCTCTTCTCATTACAAGATTCACTAGAAAATACATTAGCTTTAGGATATGTTCCTGAGTCAGCTAAGACTTACAGGAGAGGCCAGATTCTTACTGTCAGAACTAGAAGGAACACTGTGCACAAGCAACCCCAACACCTCATTTAGGAAATGGAGGCCCAGAGAGAAGAAAAGATTTTCCCAAGCTTGCACATATAGAGATATCAAACAAACAAACAAAACAAAGCAAAAACAAAAACCACAAATGCATGTGGTATTGGCTCACGTAGACTATATTTAATTAGCCAGCTTTCATTGCAAAGGCCAAATTTCTTCCTGTTTCCCAGATCTCAGACAGATAAAATTGTAAATGGAGTTCTTGACAGTATCTAAAAAAAAAAAATCTATGCTAAGAATCTAGATTTATCCTTCCCTGCTGTCCTCTTAAGCTCAAAATATAGCCACGCTTATTATAAGCATCTTTCTGTTGAAGGCTCTAAGTCTATCTGTGAGCACATACCTGCAAATGTATTTATTTTTCATTATCTGTAGTGGTCACTTTATAATTCAAAAACTTTCCCTAGCTCATGTATTTGTCTTAACACAATACGAGTCTCTTGTAGAGACCTTGGAACAGAAGGTGCGTGAAACAGAAGAGTGTTCAGCAAATGTTTGTAGAATAACATAATGACTAGATTCCAGTTTCACTGGCTATGTGTTCTTTATATATCAACAATACTGCTTCCAGAGAAAGAAGAAAGGCAACATTTTGGCTCATTCTTGGTAAACTGAAATCCAGAGCCTAGAGTCATGTTCAACTTTTCACAAACCCATAACTTAGGGCTGCTAAGTGGAGGTATCTAGCACATAATGTGTGGCCCCTACATGCCCTTACTAACCTTTCCTCCAACTTTCCCATGCTAACCTACTCTGCAACAAAAAGCACTCAGCCCCTGGATCACTTTCCATCCTGTGATGAGAGAGAAACACTAACTCTTACTGAAAAACTTATTTGATTCATGGCTTGGTCCAATCCCTGCAGCAACAATCACTCTATTTATTGACATGAGTGGGTATCTGAGGCCCCCAGGCAAGGCCCCCAGGCAAGACTCTATTTCTTAGCCCTAGTTTTTTCAGGATTTCTGAGTTCCTTAGTGTCATAGTCTTTCCATGACTCAACAGTGATGGATAAGCGCCCAGGAGTCTAAATTAGAGAAGAGTGAAGAAAATAATTCATTATATGGGATGTGGTCTCATTATCTAAATTCTAGCAACGTAAGTCTGAAAGCTATAACGTCAGCTCTCAGTAGCTGGGGCAATCTCTTCCCACTGCAGCCTGGGTGAGAACTGTCTAGATACCCTGGGTCCTGGCCATGCCTGAGCTCTCCCAGGGTAGAGGATGGCAGATAGGCAGTCTGGGAGCCTTCAGCTCCCAGGAAGGCAGGGACACCTGGTACCACCTCAGGGAAAGGGAAGACAGACAAACAAAGCCTACCTGATTCCATCCTGCCATCCTTCTTCTCCTGGGCTTCCTCAGAGCCACTGGAGCCCCTGGAGAAGGGCTGGTGGCTGAAGAGGTCATCACACAGGAGGCTTCGGCACAGCTTGGCGAGGAAACGAAGGACATACCCAACACTGTTCACCACAGGCAGGCTCCTCAGGTGCTGTTTCCCATCGAAGGATGCTGAGACTGGAAAGCCACAGAGACAGCCACTCAGAGTGGGGCACAAGAAAGCCACAGGGCCATGGGAGGAGGTTTTTGTTTGTGCAGTTGTGCCTTGGTTTTAACTAAGCTTTATTCAGATTTCACCTGTTTCTTCACTCATTGCCCTGTTTGTGTTCCAGGATCTCACCCAGGAGCCTACCCTGCGTTTAGTTGTCATGTCTCCTGAGTCTCCTCTGGTTTGGCACTGGTTCCCAGTCTTTCCTTGTTTCGAGTTACCTTGACAGTTTTGAAGAGTATCAGTCAGGTATTTTGTAAAATGTCCCTCAGTTGGGGTTTATCTGATGTTTTTTCATGATCTGACTGGGGTTAATGTTTTGGGGGAAGACAGGAAGTGCCCCTCTTATCGCATCAGATCAGAGATACATGATGTCCACATGACATCCCTGGGATGTCAGCCTTCATCGCCTGGCCAGATGGGGTTTGCTGCACTTCTCCACTGTACTCTCCATATTCCATTCCAAACAACAAAAGGTTGTGCCCACACTCAAGGGTAGTGGAGGATTAAGCTCTACCTCCTGAGGGAGGAAGAGTCTCTCTACCATTCAGAATTTTTCTATAAGAAAGAACTGCCCATTTTCCTCCATTCACTCATTCATTTATTCAATCATTTATTGATATCAGTATAGACACATATATTTATTTTGTACCAGGTTATACAATACTATGTTATTTATTTTGTTGCTCAAATTGTTCCATCTTTTGTCTTTGGGACTTCCAGTGCCCTGTATCCCTATGACATGCCCCCATTTTTTTTTTTTAACAACTTGTTGGTTACTGAAACTTCAATATGTTTCAGATTCATCTTCAATTTCCCTGCCCCTGCCCTAAAACCAGCCATTTCTCCAATGGCTCCAATTCCTTGTTACGAAAGTGTGATATCTAGAAATCAAGATTTGGGCACTGGATATGCTCATTGTTACTGGAGTGTCAGTAACTCTGGGTTCTTTTCAATGGAGAGAGCTAAGAAATATATGCATGTATACAACCTATTATGATTATGTCTCTCTCTGTATATATGTTTAGAGAGAGAGAGAGATGGATAGAGCTAGGTCAGTCAGTAGACTGATAGGTAGGCCTAGATCTAGATAGATAGATATCCAAATAAACCTGAGTCCATGCTGAGGTCTCTAGATCTAACCCAGCAACACAGAATTCAGGGTTCTTTCTGCTCTTCTGGGAAGGTGTCTTCAAAGAGAACAATAATCTTTCCATGGTGATCTAGATGAAATTCGATGTCTACAGGGTTACTGGGATTTAGAAGAAATATGTTAACTTCCAGATTTAGAAGAAATATGTTACTTCCAACTTAACTTTAGAAGAAATATGTTAAATTCTGTAATTGTCCTCATGGTCTCTCTCACCCCATGAAGCTTGTGTACCAGCTGCATGGTGAGGAACACTAGAGCAGACCCTAAGAGGACACTCTGCTCCCAGCCAGGCCTTGGCCACTCATTGCCAACACCTAGAGGGCAGCTCTGTTTTTCATGTTGTATCTCCCAAAGGCAGGAGCATGGCAGGGGCTGGGGCAGGGGCAACACTAGGACTAGTTTTGATTTTAGAACTAAAACAAAACAGCCCATTTTAATTAGGAAATCAAAAGAATCCATTTTTTTGTGTGTGTATAGCTCTTTATAGTTTGACAAGAGCCTTCATATTCATCCCCTAATTCAGCCCTCCTGACTATCCTGTGAGGACAGTAGACGAGAGGTTATTACCTCATGTTACAGGTGAGGAGATTGAGAAGAGGGCATAGAGTGGTTTTTCCGGCTCATATGGCCTCTAAGTGGCACTTGCCTGTCACATTAACACTCTGGGTGACTCTATTTGGGAGAGCCAGCAAAGAGCTGCCATGTGCCCACCTAACGGGTTTATCCTAGCCACTCAGACACTCTGGAAATTCCCTCTTAGTGTGAGCATTGCCGTTGGCCTCCAATATTTTAGAAGACCAAGCGTGATGGAAACTGAACCCACAAAAGGAGAGACTGGGGTCATTGGGTCTGTCCCATAGATCAGTGTGCATACACTCCCAGAGGTGCCTGGAAGGGCCACCTGCTAAAAGCAGAGTGGCATTTATGACACCATGAGGTCAACCCCTCTGGGACAGTGTGGCTCGGGCAGAGCACGAGGCTTATGGGGAACTGCAATACTGCTCCTTTAGCCTTCGGGATGGCCCTAGGCCCACCCATGGCAGTTTGGTTCCTTTTGCCCACTGTGCCAGCACCAACATCACCATTTCCTGTGTTGTGCCATGGGAACATTGGGAAAGCAGTGCCCTAAGGATTAGGTTAAGTACAAAGTGGGAGAGTACTAAGGATAAGTACAAAGTGGGAGAGTCTAACTATTTCTCCTTGAGTCCCTCCCTGATCCATCTTGGGGCTATCATAGGCTCTCTGAGCTTCCATACCACCATTGGTAATGTGAAAGACCACCTTGCCACTTTGCAACCTCAAGGAGGTAGCATAAGGAGTCCCCCAGGGCTACTGCATTCTCCAAGACACTAAGACCACGTGCTGAGCTCTGGACTCTGGGAATCCCTCAGCCAAGGAAAAATCGGCAGCAGGGCTCCGTCCAGGCTTGTGTTGGCACCAGGCACTGCAGAACCTGCCCCCCAGTGCCAAGGCCCCTGTGGCCACAGAAAGACTGAGCAGGAGAGCAGGGAAGATGGGGTTGATTCTCCCCGCTTAGGGAGAGGAGCTGCAAAGAGCTCAGTTAGATGGGATTTGCTCAAGAGGATGGGCACATGGTATAGGAACAGCTTTCTCTTAGAACCATGTCTGTGTCTTGACACTTGCTACTCATCAAGGAAAAGAACAAGGCCTTCAACCTCAGAGGGCAGCCCAGGTTTGTGAACCTGGATCTCAGACAAGAATCTGGAGAAGAATGGCCAGTGGGTTCTCAGAAGGCTGACAAGACCCTCCTCCTGGCCTCTCCCAGTGCAGTACTTCTTCCTCTTGTCTCTGCTTCTGCTAAAGTTTCTTAAAAGTCACCCTGGGTAAGACACATGGCACCTGAACCTTGCCAAGTTCTATTTTAATCAGTTACCAGCAAGTCAGACCCAGCTTCCTGCTCAGAGGGAGCACCAGAAGGTGGGTGGAACCAATCACAGCTGGGGAAGCTGTATTGGACAACCTCCATGCCCCCAAAGCCCTGGAGATCTAGGGTTAAATAAAATGCCCAGAGACATTAAAGTCACCCCTCCCCCCTTCCCTTAGACAGTTGGCAGGGTCACCTGCACCACCCCAATTGCTGGGGAATCTTCTCCCTATTCCCTGGTGATATGGAGGCCATGACCTTGAGGCTGGGCCAAAGACAACACCAGTCTGTCCTCTTGGAATCAAGACATCTTGCAAAGACCCGGTGTTCTAGGGCTTAATGGCAGGTGGTAACAACAGTTGTGTGGAGAGCCTTGGGTGGGGCTGAAACTGGAGGACAGTGGTGACAATGGGAGAAGAGAATGACCTTGAAGCATCTTTTAAAAAAACCAACAACCCAGCCCTTGAGAGGTGCTTGGAACCATGAGCTTCCCCACTGCCCTGCATGGTGATACATGACAGGAAGAAAGAATGAGGTAGAGTAAAGCAGAACAGATAGTGACAAGGGCTGATATTTTAGACAGAGTGGTCAGAATAAGGCTCTTGGATAAGGTGCCATTTGAAACCTGAAGAAATTCCAGGAGCAAGTCACACGTGGACAGCCAATGGAAGAGCATTCCAGATAGATCAGCAGGGACAAACACCCTGAGGCAAGAGCATGGCTGGAGATAGCAGAGGGAGCAGCAAGGAGGCCACTGTAGCTGCAGCAGAGTGGGGACTCAGGAGAATTGACTAGGAGATCAAAGAGATCGCCAGAGCCAGGTCACTTAGGACCTCTGGGTCCTCGTAAGGACGTGGGCTTTCTCTTGGAGTGACATGAGAACCACGGAAGGTGTAGGGCAGAGGAGGGCCATGATCTGACTTTGACTTTTAAAGAATCAGAGCGGCTGCTCTGAGTGGTGAAACGTGGCTGGATTCTGGATACATTTTGAAGTAAGAGCAATAGGATTTACTGATGACCTGGAAGTAGTGGGCAGTGAAAGAGGATTCAGATGCTCGGTCTTCTTGTCCAGGTCCGGAAGCATCTTCACCTTGAGCCTAGAGAGAGACCTCCAGCACACAGGCTTATTGTTAAGGCCCCCAGAGCCCAGCAGATGGAAGACAGACCCTGGCTACAACCACTGTCCCCCAAGCCTGATTATGGCTTCTTCCCTCTTCAGAGAGACACCCACACCCTCCTCACAAAACCTGCCCCAGGGCCTTACCTGACACCATCTCACCGCCATAGCCCTGTTTGACCAGGGAGAAGACCAACTTCTGCTGGTGGGCACAGTCGATGCACGCTTGCACAGCCTGCTGCAAGACCACCGATGGCCTCTCGGGCCCGAAGTGTTCGGGGAGCTGCTGCAGCTTCCTCCTCTCCAAGTACGGCCCTGCATTGGCTTGCTTATTGATGTAGAGGCAGACTGTGGAAACAGAGACCCACAAAGCCCTCAGCATCAGTTGAGTCAGGCCAGGGGGCTGTTTCTGTGTGCATGAGGGATGCCTCAGCTGTGCCCTCCTGGCCCTTGGGAAAGCTGGAAAAAACAAAGGTGGGACTGATTCTTCCCAACTTGAGATGAACAAGAGGCAAAAGAGCCCATCAACCCCAACTTCCGGGGCTCACTATCAAGAGAACCTCTTGGTTGGAAACAGATAGGCAGGTGGGTCCCCTCCAATGTACTCAAGTCGGGATTGAAACAACTATGGAGATCAGCGTGGACCATGTGTATAAATGTATTTCCATACTGGTCAGGTACACATACAAAATCTCCCCCCGCAAAGGAGCTGTTAAACTACACAAAATGTTTGCTGATTTTTTTTGTTGTTGTTGTTAACTTGCATTGAAAAAAAAAAATCAAATGATGCTGATTACTCCAAAGACTAAATACTCAAAGAAGTTCTAAAGAGAATGCTATTTATAATCTCAGAGATATTAAATACGCAGCTGCCCATTTAGGTGAGCCCAACCAATGGTCCCCACACTTTTAAAAGTCATAGACCCCATCTGTATATTTGAGCACATGCCCAAAATGTGCTTATTTATTCATAGGATATATACATTCTGGACTGTTTTAATATATTGCATGCATCTTAAAACATAACCAAGAAATAGAAAATTTTAAAGGATGAGATAAAAATAAATATTAATAGCATAATATTAATAACATTTTCTTCCCCATGGCAATGACTTCTCTTCTATTCCACTCCCCCCATCTCAGGTTATGAGGCTCTTACCTTGAGGATCTTACCACTAGGGCAAAGGAGTATTCAAAAGGGACTTGTGTGTTTGTGTGTGTGTGTGTGTGTGTGTGTGAGAGAGAGAGAGAGAGAGAGATGCCATCCTACTGCTGGTACTCTTACAATAGAAATGTTTGTTGCTGGACACCCCATAAGAAAGACCGGACTGAATTCTACTCTGACTGGATTGGAGACACCAGGTGGGACTAAGGGAGGTTAGGATCCTTAGGAGATCTGGAATCACAAACACAGGGTTGGAAACTCTTCAAGGTAAGCAGGTTCACTCTGGGTGAAAAGTAAACGTGGCTCTGAAAAGAAAATACTGGGCCACCAAACCACCCTTTCTAGTCCCATCCCAGTGCAACCGGATCGAATTTGAGGTGCCTTGAAAACCAAGTTTGAGGTGCCTTGAAAACCAAGTTTCAAGTAATCCTATTTGTGAGACACTTAAGCTAATGTTCTCAGAGAATTTGGTCGTCCTCCCTGCTGTCTAGCTAAGGACTAATCCTTCATTAGAGCTATCTCAATGGCAGCTCTCCAGTTCACAAAGCATCTGCTAGACAGCGGGCTGGCCATCACAGCCTTAGAGGTCATTCAACTGACCTACCTGTGAGAGCCTGTGGGGCCGCCAAGCTGGGTATGGTGGCTGCATCCTGAGGGATGGAGCTGAGGTCGGGCTCCGGTGTGCTCCGCGGAGGTGAGAGGGCTAAAGGAGTCATAAGAACCCGAGACTTGAGCTGCAAGACAGAGCCCATTTGGTCAAGGAAAATCTAGAAATACACTCTACACTTGCCCCCAATTTTTCATGGACATCAGGTTACCAATTGCTACTCTATCATGTTTCCACAACTTTCTATTGTGCAGCTAAGGGGTTGAACTTCAGATTCAAGTTTGTGATAGAGATTCATGTCTGGGGTCAAATTCAGAGATCAGCTCTGCACCTTACCCTTAGAGTGGATCTACCCAGGAAATGACTGGTGTCAGGCAGTGAGTGTGGGAACACAAGAGGTACGACTGTTAAAGCCTGTGAGCCATCTGAGTACAGAATTTAGGGGAGGGGACGGTACCCATGCTGCAAATCCCTAGAATCCTGTGGACAGAGCTTTCCCAACAGGTACCCAGGGACCAATTTGGAAGCTCTCCTCACTCTCTGCTGAGCTATCAGCTCACAAAGATCACTGGAAAAGAGACCAGAAACCGTTCCTCCAAGAGGCTGCCATACTACTCAGCGCTTATTTCCTACAGCAGAAACTGTCAAGGGCAGCCCAAGTGTGGACATGATTGTATTCTCTGGTGATGAGAAGCAGCCACCTTGAAGGACTTGTTTGAAATAAAAAATGAGGAGCTGAAATTTGTTGATATGGAATAAAATAGAGATGACTGGTCAGTTGATTATGTCAATGCCAACAAGTCACTCTCCATAGCAAGGTTTGACAGAAAATTGTCTAATCCACCAAAAAATAATAATGAATAATTAATGAATAATTATTATCATTATTCATCATTATATATAATATATTATATATATATATATATATATATATATATATATATAATCATCATTATTATAATGAATAATTCAGTCACTTCACCTCTTCACCACTGACCTGTGTCTGTTCTCTACTCAAGACCAATTAAATCATTCTCTGGGAGTGGGACCAAGGCATCAGGAGTTTTAAAAGGTACTCTTATGATTCTAGTATGTAATTAAGGTTGAGGCCACTACTCCACTGTTTTTCTTTTCTTTTTTTTTTTTTTAAGATTTTATTTATTTATTTGACAGAGAGAGATCACAAGTAGACGGAGAGTCAGGCAGAGAGAGAGAGAGAGAAGCAGGCTCCCTGCTGAGCAGAGAGCCCGATGCGGGACTCGATCCCAGGACCCTGAGATCATGACCTGAGCCGAAGGCAGCGGCTTAACCCACTGAGCCACCCAGGCGCCCTACTCCACTGTTTTTCAAATTTAAGGTGCAATCACTCACCTGGGGGATCTGATTAAAATATCAATTCTGATTCAGAAAGTCTGGGGTGGGGCCCGAGATTCTGCATTTCTAACAAGCTTCTAGGCAGTCCTGATGTTGCTAGTCCATTGGCCATATTTTTAGTAGCAAGGGTGTGTATTCTGTTGTTAATATATTTGCAGACCCTACCCATATATGCAGACCCCCCCCATATTGAATCATCAATATGGAGTTGATATTTAAGGCCATGATAATGGGTGAGCTCATCAGAGAAGAACAGAAGGAGTACAGATGGAGAAGAGAAAAATTCAAGCACAGAGCTCTGCAAGACTCCAACCTGTAGAGTCTTGGAAAGACCAGGAGGAACCAGCAAAAGAAACCAGGAAAGACATCCAGTTGAGTAGAAAGAAAACTGAGAGAGTGGGTCCTTGTAGGAGCCAGAGAAAGTGTTTCATGAAGGAGAGAGTGGTCAGCCATGTCAAAAGCTCTGATCACAAGGAAGACTAGAAGTGGCCTTTAGATGTAGCAACTTCTCAACAAAGAGGGGGTAGTGCAGTCGGTGGGATGAGAACCTGACTGGATTAGCTCAAGAAATAATGGGAGGGGAAGCACTGGGATCAGGAGTTTAAGTCAACTCTTTCAAGGAGGCTTGTCTGGAAGGGGAGCCAAAAATTAGCCATAGCAAGAAGGAAAAGTCAAATCAAGTAGTTTTTGCCCCACAATGGGAGATCACCTCACACCCATCAGGATAGCTACTATCAAAAACAAATGAAAAAAATAATAAGTGTGGCAAGGATGTGGAGAATCAGAACTCTTGTGCACCATTGGCAGGAATGTAAAAAGGTGCGGTAGAGCAGTTCCCCAAGAAATTTAAAATAGAATTGCCCAACAATTCCACTTCCGGGTCTATATCCAAAAGAATTGAAAGCAAGATCTCCAAGAGGTATTTGTCCACTCATGCTCATAATAACACAACTCACAATAGTCCACAAGGAAGCAAATACCAGGGTCCACTGACAGATGAATAGATAAACATAAGGTGATATGTACACACAAGGGAATATTACTCAGCCTTGAAGAGGAAGAGAATTCTGGCCCATGCTACAACATGGAGGAGTCTTGAACATATTTGCTAAGTGAGATAAGCCAGACACAAAAAGACAAGTATTGCATGATTCCACTCATTTAAGGTACCTAGAAGAGTCAAGATCACTGAACCAGAAAGTGGAATAATGTTCTCCAGGGGTTGGAGGGAGGAGGGAATGGGGAGTTGTTTAATGGGGACAGAGTTTCTGTTTTGCAAGGTGAAGTTCTAGAGATGGAATGCATAGCAATGTGAATATACTTGCTACCGAGCTGTACACTTAGAAGTGGGTATAATGGTACATTTTATGCCATGTGTCTTACCACAATTAAAACTTTTAAAAAAGTATTTATATATATAAATACTTCTTTATAGATATATAATATAATTTTATGTATTTTATATATATATTTATACACACACACACACATTCACACACATATATATTTTGAGACAGGAGAGACATACTTTAATGCTGAGGGAAATAATCCAGCAGAGAGGGAAAGGATGATTCAGGGGCGTGCTTGGAGAGCTGGCAGCATCAGGACTTTAGAAGGTGAGAGGGGATGAATTCAGTGAATGGAGGCGGGTGGGTGGGAGGGTTGGGTCAAGGCTGCAGGGAAACTCAGACCTTTCATCTATTTTATTGCAAAGCAGAGTATAATGGCCCGGATCTGGTGTGTGTGTGTGGTGGGGGGGTGGTGGATGTGGAGATGGGAACTTAAAAAGGTCTCTTCTGATGGCTTCTAATTTCTCCATGATGCCAGAAGCCTGAGTGTGAGGATAGAGGAGGCCGTGTTCATGAACTAAGGTGTGGCTGCTGAGCAGCATTGAGGGTGCAGTGGGACGTGTGGAAATGAATTTAAATTCACTGAAATGAATTTACAATGAAATCAGTCAAAAGTGAGCACCCTGGTTGCCCAGGGCTATCTGGATGCAGAATCTGGGGCTCTGGCAAGAGACCCAATGTTAGTCAGAAGCTACAGTCGACAGAGATATCATCTTATTCTGTGTTTAGCATTTGAAAAATTAGTTATGCTGTGCTAAATACTATAGAAATAATCTCAAAGACAACTCAGTGGTGGAAAGGAGGGGACCAGAAACCAGCTGTGACTCAGTGACCGTGACTTTGGCACGTTTCCCTCACTTGCCGAGTGTGACAAGGGCTACATGTTACCCTGCCTGTCCTCCCAGGTCGTGCACCACGCGTCCCCCTGACAGTCCTTCTAGGAATGATATGCTGTGCTGCATGGCTTGTGATGGAGAGGCTGGTGGTAGCAGTCTCCAACAACGGTGGGCAATGGTCTCTAGAAGGACCTTGGTTAAATTCTCCATTACAGGCTTAGAGCCCTCCAACCAACATACAGATAATGATTTTGGTGGGGGAAAAGTAAGATTTGGCAAGTCACCAATGTTCCCTCTGTGTCTTTAAGCAAATCGCACAAAGATCCTCGTGACCCTTCCCTAGAAGGATGGTGATGTGACAACGGTGATGATGGTGAGGATAGTGATGGTGGAGAGTTTCCTGTTTGCATGAGTGTATAATAATCCTAAGACCTAATGCTTGCTCGCAATTTTAATATTTATTAAAAAAGGGTCTGTTTGTTGAATCCACCTCTGAAGAAGTAATACAAATAGAGTTGGCTCTTACCACTGCCCACCATTTCTGGTCAGATAAAGCAATTGAAGGAATTAGAATAAGTCAGCCAGTTGCAGGGCAAACCATGGGCATTCATCCTACCCTTCAAGCAACTGCTGGGACTTTTGAACAAAGTAAAAATCTCATGCACCTGTGGGTGGTCCATGACTTTTTAAAAATTCTTCTTGGTAAGAGACCATCAGGAAGCATACCTTTGACATAGCATGCTGAAGTTTCTATCTCAACACTTAAAATAAAGGAAAAAACTTGGCCTAAGAAAGGGAGTCACATCCGATTTTGGAGGGCTTCTAAGATAGAAATGAGTCCAGTGGCTAGGAATGTACTTTGGTGTGATGTGGGGCCCCTCTGTCAGTGCCTCTCCTACATGTGGAATGAGGAACTCCCTGTATGACCCAACATACAGGGATGCTATTCTCTGGCAGGTCATTTGCCTTTGCTATTGCTGGCTTTTTGTGTGTTTTTGTTTGTTTGTTTGTTTTTGTTGTTGTTGCATTTTTTTTAAATGGACAAAATAAAAAAGTGCTGTTTTTTTAAATAGTTTTTTTGTTGCATTTTGTTTTTTAAATGCACAAAATAAAACAGAAGGGTCCAATCTTGGTATCTAATACCTTTCTTCAATAAAAGGAGCTAGGGCTTTTTGGAGAAAGGGCTGATTCAAGGACAAGTGAGGGAAACATTCAAGATGAGCCTGCGACATCTTGTCTCAGAATGTGAGAGTACTAAACACACACATACACAATGATGACTGTGGGTCATAGGAACACAAGAGTCAATGGAAAGAGCTTCCAGTGTCCAAATCTGGAACAATATGAGCAACAAATCATGAGTAATGGATTCTGATTCAAAGTATACCATGAGGGGCGCCTGGGTGGCTCAGTGGGTTAAGCCGCTGCCTTCGGCTCAGGTCACGATCTCAGAGTCCTGGGATCGAGCCCCGCATCGGGCTCTCTGCTCTCTAGGGGAGCCTGCTTCCTCCTCTCTCTCTGCCTGCCTCTCTGCCTGCTTGTGATCTCTCTGTCAAATAAATAAATAA